GATGACAATAAGGGAATCCCTAAGATTGGCATTGTGTTGAGGCGATGCCCAGCTTAGGGATAGGGATATGTTCCAGGCTGGTAAGAGCGCGCACGTCGCGAAGTTCGGGTGACTTGCGCCGCCTTCGCTTGCGCCTGGATGGCAAGCTCTGCGCTGCGAGCGTGAAAGGCCGTCGCGTTGGACTGGAACTGAGAGTGATTCCCGTTGCGCGTGAACTTCTGATGATTAGTGCGACGCTCGGGTTGCACGCATCATCCATGCGCGCGCGGGTGCAAGCGAGCCGCGGTCGCCCCCGCGCTGGCGCGCTGCGTGTTGGGCTCGACGTTTGGGAAATGAGGGCTGACGCGCTTGCTCGGGGGCCCGACGGGGCCTTCTGCGCGCCGCGTTCGATTTCCAAGCGGCCCGCGTCGCCCGGGTCACCGGCGGCGCGCGCGCGCGCGCCTGTGTGGCGAGCTTTGGGTGGCGCGCGAGAATGCACCGTGGCCCAGCGCGCAAGACGCGCGAGCGGGCGCGCGCGCGTCCTGATTTCGGCGCATTCACGTGGTATGTTTCTGTTGGCTGGGCGGCTCGGGCGCGCCGGCGCGCCCCGCGCGCGTGGTCGGTGGGCCGCGCTGCCGGAACCGCCCTGGGCGCGCGCGCGCGCCTGCGTGGCGGGCCCGGGGCTGCGAGCGCGAAAGGGCAGCCGTGGTGGCCCGGGAGCTCGACGCTTACTGCGGCACGCGGCGTTCTGGGCGTCGCGGGTTGTCGCGGTTGCCGCGGGCCCGCCAAGTTGCCCGACGCCCGAGGCGCCCCTCGGCGGCGCGCTTCGCGACCCGCGTCGCCGTGACCGTGAGGTTCCGGGCGGCGGGTTGGCGGGCGCTGGGGGGGCAGTGTTGCTTCGGCCCCCTCCAGCCGCCGCGAGCTCCTGAGTCCGCGGCGCCCGAGGGGCGGGCCCTGAGCTGCGACGACGCGCAGGTCGCAGCGCAGGCATTGGGGCCGCAGTTCGCCCGCGGGGCCTCTGAGCCCGGGGCCGGGGCCTCTTGCGCCGTATTTCCCGCGCGGCGGAGCCCCCCGGCCTGCGACCCTGGCGGCTGCGCCCCCGAGGTGTGCGGCTCGACGGCGGCGGGCGCAGCCGCTGGGCCCCCACGAGGGCCTTTGGCGCGAGGGCCTCGGGCCCCGGAGCCGCGGGGCCCTGGCGCGCGGCCGCGGGGCGCCGGGCCCGGGCGTCGAGCCCGGGGCTGAGGTCCCCGGGGCCGCCGCCGCAGTCACTGGCGCAGCAGTCTTCCCGGCCGCGGGCCCTCAATGGGGCGCCGGGCGCCGGGGCCAGAAGGATGGGCTTGTTTTCCACCGCCACCACCAGAAGTCGGAGGGGGGAGGGGGTCCTCCTTCCCCCTCTTCTTCTTCCTCTTCCTCATCCTCCACCTACCCCCCCCCCTCCCACTGATGGTGGTGGCGGTGGAACACAGGCCCATCGCAGATTCGCCGAATTCCCGGGCGAGTGCTTTTCGAGTAGCATTCGAAGTCAGTTTGTATTTCTCCGAACATACTATTGAAACTGCTCGAGGCTTTTTCTTTGAAGAGATCAAGCGAGTGTTTTGCGCAAGTTCTTGTGTTCTTTGTGAAAAGTAAATTGTTATAGTTGAGCGTGTTTGAACTTGTTCTGTATTTTTCTACATTGAGTCATATCACTTATTCCGCCAAGTGTTTTGTTGGAATTGCATGTGACTTGTTTTGAACTGAAAAATGTGAACTTCGCCTGGGCCGTACTAACATCCGAAGTGGAAGCAGCCTGGCAAAGTACCCAGTCTTTGACATTTGATGCCAGAATTTGATATGCATTTTCCGGAAGACGCGCGCCGCCCGAACTCCCAGCCCATGCGGGGCCAGGGGTCTTGGCCGGTGATCTCATACTGTTTTGGGCATAATGGGCGTTATAGCCCGCGGCCCTCCCCCCCATCTAACGTATTGCCCCCCCCCCCCCCCCCTTGTGCGCCCCGGGCACTGCTGCCGTGCGCATCGGGATCCGCATGCTCGTCCGCATCGGGATCCGCATCGGGGTCTTGTCCGCACTCGTCTCCGTCGTCGTCGTCGTCGTCGCTTGTCGCTCGTCGCTCGTAGCTCATCGCCGTCGTGCGCGCGGACGCGGCTCGAGATTTTTTTTACATATGCAATAGGCCGATGACGGCCGTCATTTGGGGGGGGCGCGGAGGGACGGGGCCGAGAACGTCACGTTTCGCGCCGGTGGCGTCTGGGAAGGTGTAGGGATGACCGAAGACGTGTAGCAGCGGCATGTAGGTGGCGCTCCGCGCCAAAGCGCCTCTGTACACCACAGTGCCCGCGTGCACCGTAGCGCCCGTGTGCACCACAGAGCCTACGTGCACCGCAGCAGCCGCGTGCAACACATCGCTTGCGTGTGCCATAGTGCCTGCGGACACCACAGCGCTTGTGTACACCACAGCGCCTGCGTGCACCACATCAGCCGTGTGCAGCACAGCACCAGTGTACACCACAATGCTTGCGTGCATTACAGCGCCTGTGTACACAACGGCGCCTGTGTGCACCACAGCAACCGTGTCCAACAGAGCACAATTGCTGCATAGAGAATTTTAGAAGGAACATTTCCATGACAAATGGAGAGCCTGTGGATTCCACTGGAAACAGGGGATTTCGTCGTCGTCGACGACGTTAGCGTTAGCGTTAGCGTTAGCGTTAGCGTTAGCGTTAGCGTTAGCGTTGGCGTCGTCGTCGTCGTCGTCGTCGGCGGCGTTGGTGTCGTTGGTCGTCGGCGTCGGTGTCGGCGTCGGCGTCGGCGTCGGTGTCGGCGTCGTCGTCGGCGTCGACGTCGGCGGCGTCGTCATCGTCGTCTTCGTAGTCGTCGTCGTCGTCGTCGTCGTCGTCGTCGTCGTCGTCGGCGGCGGCAGCGGCGGCGTCGTCGTCGTCTACGTCGTCGTCGTCGTTCTCGCTATCGTCGGCGGCGTTGGTGTCGATGGCGTCGGCGTCGGCATCGGCGTCGGCGTCCCCGCCTCATCCCACCTGGTTAGGTGGAGCTGGCCCCTGGAACCCTGGAACCCTGGGACCCGTCCCATTTCGGGGGTGGCTGTAAACCACCCTCGACCCGGGATCCAGGGCTTGCCCTCCCCGCCCCCCAAGGCTACTGACATCGGGCCGCTTCCGAACCTCCGATGGGTTCCCCAACCTTCTGTCCCCCCTTGTGGATGTGGATTGGTGCTGCTGTGGAAATTCTAGACGCTTCGCGTATCCCCACCAGCCCGTCCAGAAATGAGTCCCAGGGGAGTGGAGGTTATGAGGGAAGCGGGGGAGCATGCAGAAGAACAGAGGGCGGGGTGAGCCGCCATATACCCCAAGAGGGGGAGGATGTAGGAGGAGCCGTCGTCGTCGGAGTAGGAGGAGGAAGAGGAGGAGCAGGAGGAGGAGCAGGAGGAGGAGGAGGAGGAGGAGATAAGGAGGAGGAGATGGAGGACTGCGAGGACGAGGAGGACGAGAAGGAGGAAAAGGAAAAGGAGGAGGAGGAGGAGGAGGAGGAGGAGGAGAGGGGGAGGAGGGAGGAGGAAGAAAAAGAGGAGGAGGAGGAGGACAATGGCGAGCTTGGGGGCCTCTTGGGCCGTCTTTGGAGCCTCTTGGCGGTCCCGGGGGCCTCTTGCGTATCTCGGGGAGCCTCTTGTGGCCTCTTGGGGGTCTCTTGGGGGCCTCTTGGAGGCCTCTTGGGGGCCTCTTGGGGCCTCTTGGGGCTCTCTTGGGGCGCTCTTGGGGCGCTCTTGGGAGCTTTCGAGGCGCTCTTGGGGCCATCTTGGAGGAGATCTATCAAAGAAGGGGGGGTCCTCAATTAGCGCTGCCCCTCTAGAGTGCCTCGAATCGCTTCTTGGGCCCTTCTTGAGGCCAAAATCTTTCCAAAACCTAGGTAAAATCAATGTTTTGTGTTTTCTCGCCTTTTCGCTCTTGGAGCCGTCTTGGGCCGTCTTGGGAGCCTCTTGGGCCTCTTGGAGGTCTCTTGGGAGCCTTTTGGAGGCCTCTTGGGCGCCTCTTGGGGCCTCTTGGGGCGCTCTTGGGGCGCTCTTGGGGCGCTCTTGGGAGCCTTCGGGGCGCTCTTGGGGCCATCTTGGAGGAGATCGATCAAAGAAGAGGGGGTCCCCAATTAGCGTTGCCCCTCTAGAGTGCCTCGAGTCGCCTCTTGGGCCCCCCAAGAGGCCAAAATCCTTCCAAAACCTAAGGAAAATCAATGTTTTTTGCTTTCTCGCCTTTTCGCTCTTGGAGCCGTCTTGGGCCATCTTGAACTCTCTTGGGGCCTCTTGGGGGTCTCTTGGCAGCCTCTTAGAGGCTTCTTGGGGGCCTCTTGGGGTCTCTTGGGGCCCTCTTGGGGCGCTCTTGGGGCGCTCTTGGGAGCCTTCGGGGCGCTCTTGGGGCCATCTTGGAGGAGATCTATCAAAGAAGGGGGGAGCTCCAATTAGGGTTGCCCCTCTAGAGTGCCTCGAAGCGCCTCTTGGGCCCCCCCAAGAGGCCAAAATCCTTCCAAAACCTAAGGAAAATCAATGTTTTGTGCTTTCTCGCTTTTTCGCTCTTGGAGCCGTCTTGAGCCATCTTGGGCGTCCCTGACACCTCGCGGGACGCCTCGTCCAGGTCAGTGGGGAGGGGTAAGGGGAGGGGTAAACCCCTCCCCGAAGGGAAAGAAGGGGGGTTGGCAGAGGAAACGCTCTAGACCACCTACGCCCTAAAGGGCTGGTGGGATTCCGTGGGGTCTATGCTTTGGGGGCTCGTGCCACGTGCGCTGACGTCGTCGTCATCGTCGTCGTCATGATTTGCCATTGCCCTCCTCTCTCTCTCCTTCTCCATTCCGTTCGTCATCCGCCCATCTCATCGGGTGTTGGGGGCACGGGGCCCTGGGACCCATCCCACTGGGGGGGGGGCGGGCCTGGAACCCGGGAACATACGCAGGCCAGTGCCCATGAGGCGTGGGGTGACCGAGGAGGCGGAAAACGCGGACTGAGGTCGCGTGCGCATGCAGGTGGTCAGTGAGGGGGGGATGGGAGATACGGCCAGGAATGTTCGCTGAGCGCGTCGCTCCGCCAGCTCTGGCCCACCATACCTCGGTGCGGCACGCGAAGCACGTCCTGGTCCACGAGCGTCAGAGTCCCGAGCTTCTCCCAGCCTTCCGCACCGCCGAGCGGAGCGACACGGTATCAGCTCGCAGGGCACAGCGTGTCGCCAGGGTCGTCACCGCCACACGCCTAAGCAAGAGTTCCTGATCGTGGGATGGGAAGTCATGGACGTGTTCTCCACAACCACCACCATAAGTCCGAGGGGGTTCTACTTCGCTCCACTCCACTCCACTCCACTCCACTCCACTCCACTCCACTCCACTCCACTCCACTCCACTCCACTCCACTCCACTCCACTCCACTCCACTCCACTCCACTCCACTCCACTCCACTCCACTCCTCCTCCTCTTCCTCCTCCTCCTCCTCCTCCTCCTCGTCGTCCTTCTCCTCGTCCTCCACCTCCTCCCCCCCTCCAACTGATGGTGGTGGTGGTGGAAAACAAGCCCACCAGGAAAGGGGAGGGCGGGGTGGGCACGGGGCGTGGACAGGAAGCGTAGAGGGCAGGGAGTTCCCGCTTCGTCCAGTCGCCCTCCCGGCCCCCTGCAGGGCGAGGGATCTGTCGGAGGACCACAAGCCAGAGCTGCCGGCAGAGGACCGGGGGATCCCCCGCCACCAGGGAGTCAATCGCTCTTCTCGCCACGGCGCAAGCGGGTCCCGAGGGAAGCGGGTCCAGGACCCGCTGCCTTCGCGGCAGTCTTTGGGCAGGCAGGCGGAGGTTGAGTTGCGTGCCCACGCGCGCACACATGCGCGCACGCACCCGCCCAGACATGCCCGAAGTTCAGGCACAGGTGACGCCCTTCCCCCCCAAGTTTGGAGGCCCGACATTGGTACGGAATAGGTGGTACGATGTCCAAAAGCAAGTGTGGTTCAACACCGACAGCGGCTGCTGTTGGGCAGGCGGCCTTGTGTCTCAAATGGATCAGGCCCGCGGCGGCACCGACAACGAATCCGGTTCAAAATGAACAAGGAATGCTGTCGTCTCTGAACGCTGTGGCCACTGGGGCGAGGCGCGGCATTCATCATCTGATCGTGGCCCACGGACACTGTGCGGCCAAAACCAAAGCCCTCGCAGTACCCGGTTCCGGAGCTGTGGGAGTGGCGATTGAGGCCCCGTGGCTAGTGACGCAGTGGAGAGGAGACGAAATGGCGACAAGGCAAAAGAAAATACACAAGGAATGCTGTCGGTCGTTGTGCCCATTCCTTTCGCACCCTCGTCGATCGTTCCGACAAGCGACGATTACACTGAAGGGTTAGTTCCCTAAGGGATTGGCCTTGTGTGTCGAGATCAGGGCGCACCCGCCATGAGATCCCCTCCGCCGTCGCCTTCGTCCCCAGGCTTGTTAGATTGATGCCCAACGAAAAGGACGCGGGTGGGGCGATCAGGGGGAGCCCCCCCGTCTTCTGTAGCAAATCATGGGAGCCTGGTATACACTCGTGCTTCCGTCACTGGCGTCGATTAGCGTCTGGGAGTCGATGAGATCGCGCCAATTTAGTGCCGGCTAGCGTCGATTAGCGTCGAACTAGCGCCGACTAGCGTCGATTTAGCGTCGACTAGCGTCGACGCGCAAGAGCCGGCATGATGTGAGGGGAGGCTCCCGTGGGCTGTCACCGAAGCCTTCCCCCTCCACACACGAGAGGGGCGGGGGTAAGAAGGTGCACCCCCCCCCGTTGCACGAAAAACGAAAGGGCGGGGGGAAGGGGGGCCCCTCTTCCCCTGCTAGAGCGATGCCAAACGAAAACGACGCCAGGGGAAGGGGAGGGGGGCGGGAAAGGGGCAACGTTCGCACACAAACACACACACATACACGTAGACACACACACACACATACACCACGCACACAAGCGCACACACACACACACATTCACACACACACACATTCGTACACACACACACACACATTCACACACAGTCACACACACACACACACTCACACTCACACTCACACTCACACACTCACACACACGCACACACAAACACACAAACACGCCAACACACAATCACGCAAACACGCAAACACACACGCAAACACTCACGCACGCACGCACGCACGCACGCCGCCGCACACAAAAGTGGGATGGCGGGGGGAAACGGGGTGTGCACCCTCCCTCCTCTGCTCCCCTCGGCGCGGGGAAGGGGGAGGCGACAGGGTGCGCGTCGCCCCCCTTCCTGGTTGAGAGTCGAACCCGGGAATCGCTTCCAAACCCAGAATCGTTTGGGTCGAAACCCGGTCGGCGCGCATCCGCGAAACCCGGGATTCCCAGGCGACGAAAGCCAGAAGTCCCGGCGGCCGCGATATCCATAATTCAACACGGTTAAAGAGACAAGCGAGGATCTCTTTCCGAGACGCGGAGGACGAGAGGGTGTGGCTGCGGCGGCTCCGCCCCAGCGGCACGGCGTGTCGGGGAAGCGCAAGGCGTAAGTCGGGCTTGTCCTTCTACGGGAGGAAGATTCGAAAGTAGGGACAAAATAGTCAAGGGACGATTTTTCTAGTTTTTTTTTACCATATGTTTACGCATGTTTGGGGTATTTTTTATTTTGTCGCCCCAACATCCCCTTGTTGGAGGACAGGCCCGACCCAACGCAAGGTTCGAGTGCGCCCGAGCTCGGCTGCGCCGACGCTTTCCGGCGCGCGCGCGTCCTGGGTCTGGACGGTGCAGTGTCCACGTGGGGTGTTCTGCAGCGGCAGCTCGCGTCCAATGTCGGACCTGGCCCCGTGATTGTCATGACGGCCCCGGCAGGCCAGCCCGAGTCCCCCGAAGCCGAGTCCTGTGTCCCCCCGGGCGCAGAGGGTCCTCCAGGCACGGCGTAGACTGCACCGCATGGATTTTTCGTCGTCCTTCCTCCTCCCTCGTCGTCGTCTTCGTTGGCATCGTCGTCGTCGTCTTCGTCGTCGGCGTCGACGTCGTTGTCGTCGTCGAAGTCGTCGGAGACGTCGTCGGTGTCGTCGTAGTCGTTGTCGTCGGTGTCGTCGTAGTCGGTCTTGAGAGGCTCTGCAAACCGAGTTGCGGGTGGGTGGGTGGGATGTTTGCAAGAGCGTGGGATGTGTCACATCATGGGTAAAACTCAGCTGCACCGCATCGATTTTTCCGCGCGCGTGGAGATACACACGCGCGCACGGAGTGCCCCACGCGCAGGGGGGGCTCCCCCCCCCCCCTCTCGGGAAAAAGCCGGCGCGCCGCGGGCCTGCCGGCGGGGGCCGGCCGGAGGGTGGCGGGAGCCTGGCGGGAGCAGCAGGTGCGCACACCAAGAGATGGCACTTTTGCGTGAAGTCGGGCGTGCCCCTCCTACTGGAGGGCTATTCCAAAGCAGCGGAAAAATAGTAGAGCAGTGATTTTTCCAGTATTTGCTGATTTCATGCTTGGGGCACTGTGTGATTTTTTTTTGCAGTTCGTCCAAGCTCGGCCCGTAGGGAGACGCGCCCGACTCACATCTTGCGGTTCGGAGTCTCCGGCGGCAGCCGCAGCGGTGTCCGTTGCTCCCGCCTCGTCCCCTCAGAGCCCCGAATCATCAGGGGTAACTCGGGTCAGGGATAACTCGGGTTCCTTCTTCGGGAATCCAAACCCGACTTACCCCGGACCCGAGTTACCCCGGATAACTCGGGCGCCCAATTCCCCAGATCCAGGCGTTGCATTTTGTCACCAGGCGTCTTCGCCAGACTTCGGGCCTGGGGGCCCTCACCTTATATCGATCCAGCTCGAAAAAGGTTGCGCAGACAGATCGCGTCCTGTAGCTCAGTTCGTGATGTTCGCGATGTGGGAAGTGTTTCGTGACATCGGACCTCAAGCAGTTGTTTTTTCCTCCGCGTGAGATTTGTCGAGCATTTCCCGAGGAGCAGCGCATCAAGCGGGCCGGCGGGTACGTCGCGCCCTCCGGCCAGACGTTCCGCATAGACGGGCGGGGGCTGAACCTCTCGCGCGCCCTGGGGAGCTTCCGCTACAAGTCCCGCCCCGACCTGCCCCCAGAGAGGCAGAAGGTGTCCTGCTTGCCGCAGATCACCTTTCTGGAGCTCGAAGAAGTGAAAACAGCCCAGATTCCGCGCGGAATCCTGACCATGATTTGTCGTACTACCCTCGTCAAAATTGACCTCAACAGGTGCTGGCACGTCATTTCGATTTCGGCGCGCCCCTCAATGTCGACACGCCGCCCCTTCAATGTCGGGGCGAGGGCAAAGATAGTCTGACCGAAGTTGACTCGAAAGTTTGACGTCGACCGACATTGGAGGGGCGGCGCATGCAAGTACCCCCAGCACTCATCGGTACCCGGCCCCAGATCTTCCGACAAGCAGTTCAACCACGTCAGACATTTTTGAGGTTAATTTTGACGAGGGTCGCGGATTCCTTGGATCGGCGCCGGGCCTCTCCCCGGCGGCGCCCCCCGCGCCGCCGCCCCAGGTGCGCGCCGCGCGCCGGGAAGAGACTCCGGCGCCGATGCGAGAAGTCCGCGCGGAGCACCGAAAGGCTATATGTATATGCCTACGCTGCGGGCAATAGTTATATCCACATCCAGTGCGTCTTGGAGTCTTGGGCTCTATTCCCCAGAAACCGTAGACGCACTGGATATGGATAAAGATCTGGCCCCAAGAGGCTTGATTTTATCCATATCCAGTGCGCCTCGGCGTTGCGGCACCTCTTCCGAAAAAGTCCAACACGCTCTGGAAATGGATATGAGTACTGCCCGCACACGCCGCTCGGGCCGGACGAAAGGGGGGGACTGGGGAAGGGGGGGGTACGAAATTTGCCGCATGAAGCCGGTTTCGGCCCCACCGAGGGGCCCCTTCCTCGATGCATGGGCGCCTCCCGGCGCTGGGAGGCGCCGGGAGAATCAGCTATACGCGAGCTGATTCTCCCCCCCCCCCCTTGGCTAATACCCCCCCTTTCGCCCGATCCGAGCCGCTCGCTGGTTTCTCTCAGGAGCTGGAGGAGGCGGACGAGTTCGTGGTGCTGGGGTGCGATGGCCCCCGCGGGCGGGCGGAAGCCGCTCTGTCCGTGTGCCCGCACGGCCTCTCGTGGCCTGGGCCCCCGCAGCCGGCGGGCCCCACGTGAGTATACGGTATCGTATAGTACAAACTCATATGGGGCCCGCATAGAGTACAGTATAGTATAGTATAGTATATACATATAGTATAGTATAGTATAGTATAGTATAGTATAGTATAGTATAGTATAGTATATACTCATCGTGAGTATACGATTAAACAAATCGCCCCCTCCCCCTCCCCCCCCGGGACCCCCCAAAACGATTGAGTGGGGCCGACTCCTAGGATTCAGCCGCCGGAAACTGTTTTTTTTTGAATCGTCCGCGCCCCGGCGTTTTTTTCCCCCTGTGGGGGAACTGTTTTCCTCTCCGTCCTCCTTCGCTCGCCGGATCGCCCGCGGCCTCGGGGGGAGGCCTGCGGAGGGGGGACTCAGAGGCCAGCAACATATGCACACGTACGCGGTTAGTTTCCCCTGGAGTGCGGTTCAACGCGGACGTTCGTGCAGGCAAGACCGCGGAGGGCGTACATGTACATATGTCGTTGCTCGCCCAGGGACGGGGTAATTTGGGGGAGTAGTTCGAAGAGGTTCCCCCCCACTTCACTGCGGGGCGCCGCGTCGGGCCGCGGGCGCCTCGCGCGCAGAGCGCACCTGCACGGGTGCGCACCCGCAGGGGAGCGAGCAGTGGCACGAACAGAACAGCTGGACACCCTTACTATAGGGGAACAAACATCACCACCCACCAAACCACCCCGACCCAACCCGAAGGCTCAGATTTACCCTCGATTTCCAGTGGGGGGGGGGGGTCGGGAAACATCGAAAAACCACATGTGGAACCCTTACCCCCCCCAACCCGAAATTCGGGTCTTCGGGTTGGGTTGGGGTGGTCTGGTAGGTAGTCAGTAATTTTGGGGAGTAGTCGAGGGAAGGGGTTTTCGAAGAGGTTCCCCCCACTTAACTGCGGGGCGCCGCGTCGGGCCGCGGGCGCCCCGCGCGCCGCGCACCTGCACGGGTGCGCGCCCGCAGGGGAGCGAGCAGTGGCACGAACAGAACAGCTGGACAACCTCACTAGGGGAACAACAATCACCACCCACCAAACCACCCCAACCCAACCCGAAGGCTCAGATTTACCCTCGATTTCCAGTGGGGGGGGGTCCGGGAAATATCGAAAAAACACATGTGGAACCCTTACCCCCCCCCAACCCGAAATTCGGGTCTTCGGGTTGGGTTGGGGTGGTCTGGTAGGTAGTCAAAAAAGTGGCATGAACATAAAAACTCGGAGGTCCGCGCGGATTTCTCAGATCCGCGCTGGGGCTCCCTGGCGGCGCCTCCGGCGCCGCCCCTGGCGCGCTCCAAGCGCCAGGGAGGGGGGTCCAGCGGCCGATCCGAGAAATCCGTGCGGACCTCCGAGTTTTTATGTTTATGCCATTCTTCGTTCCCCTGATCCATGCATCGGGGTCGTGCCGCGGAGCCCAGACCGCGAGGCCACGGATATGGGCAGCTTGTTCGGTGCAATCCCCCTGGGAGGTCAGGGGGAGCATCGGCGCGGGTGTAGCCGTGGCCGCACACGGGCCTGATGCGGCACAGTCCCGTCCGATCCAGAGCTACTCTTTCCCGCTTCGGCTGGCGTTACCCGATTTCGTGTTGGGCTTACTCTGCGCTGGTCCAGGTTAATGGCCCCTCAGCCGCAGGAGGTCTTTAGTTCTGCACTCCCCTCCTGATTCTTTCGGCGGGGGATGAATTTCAGGAGGGAACACACACACAGACACAACTCATCGTCGATTCCCCAGAAAATATAGGAAACTATGGGAATTGTGCGGGGAGACACCAGAAAATATTGGAAACTATGGGGAATATGTTTATCTGTGTGTATTTATGTTTGCGTGTCCCAGGGCCCCTTCAGCATTCGCCCACCCTCTGCCGCGTCGTCGCCCACGTCGTCGTCGCGGCGGGGACTATCTTCCCTCTGGTGTTGGGCTGGCTGCACCATGTTTCGGGTCCCCCTCCTTCTCCTCCTCCTCCTCCTCCTCCTCCTCCTCCTCCTCCTCCTCCTCCTCCTCCTCCTCCTCCTCTCCTCCTCCTCCTCCTCCTCCTCCTCCTCCTCCCCCTCGGGGTTCTTTTCCCCCTGCGAACCATGCTCCCCGGGCGACCCTGCACGATGGGAGCTTCGATCACGCTTGTAGGGGGACTGCAGTCTAGAGCGACACCTTCGTCTCCGAGGGCGTTGCTCACAGTCTTCTCCTTGATCTCTCGTTGTAGATGCAGTACGGTTGCAAAATATGCTGTTACACGAGCAATCTACATATACATCTTCGTCGTGCGCCCGCGTCGCGGGCTACCGACTGTCCGCCGCGCTGGGTACTGGCGGGGTCCGCCGCGCTGGATACTGGTGGGGTTTCTTTCTCCCAGCGGCTGATGTTCCCCTGGCTACCTGTCACGACGGGGTGAGAACGTTTGTAAGAGGATTGCAATATATCTCGAAGTCGAAGTCGTAGTCGTAGTCGTAATGTTAGTCGTGGTCGCGAACTACTCGTATTCACCATCGTAGTCGTAGCCGTAGTTGCATCGTGCTCGTAGTCGCCATCGTAGTCGCCGTCGTTGTCGTCGTTGATGTGCGGCCGGTGGGACCCAAGTCCGACAATAATATCGCCAGTCATACAACTTAGTTTTCAACTATTGGGGTGGTTCTAAAGACCTAGCCCAGTTAACCATGCAGAGTAAACTTCTTCAGTAGGTTTTTGCGAAGACCTCCCAGAAGCTGCTTCGTAAGACCCCGTCCCCGGGACACAGCTTCCATTCCCCGTAATTTTTGTTGGCGGTTTTGGGCCAAGTGAAGCCCCACTTGGGGACCGATGACTGCCGATCCCCCATCCCCATCGTGCTTATTGTGAAGGTCTGACGGCCGGTGCCGCCGACCCTGAAAGACATCGACGACGACCAGGAGGGGGAGGAAGGCGAGGAGGAGGAGGAGGAGGAGGAGGCGGAGATAAGGAGGAGGAGAAGGACGAGGCAAAGGACTCCCCTTTGGCCCCCCCCCCTGACCTGGGGAGAAGGACCCGAGGAGGACCAGCGTGGGAGAGCCCACCCCCATCGTGCTTGTTGCACGAGTCGAGGGGGGTCCGAGGGCATGGAATCCATGGAATCCAGATCGCGCGGGAACGGATAGGCCCTGGCACCCCTCCGCGGCCTCAGGGCTCCCGGCCGCCTCGCCGGGGTCCAGCTCTGTCCTCGGTGGTCCCCGGGACAGACGACCACGAGTACAGATCGACCATAGACGTAAGTGACCTTTCGCCGGAGTGACCTTTGGTGCGGGCACAGATGGGTCCCCAGACGGCTAAAAACGAGGCAGTAGCTGCTGCTGGCGCGCCCAGGTTTGGTACCCCCGCGGCCCCCTTAAAAGTCGCGCACCAAAGGTCACTCTTACCCAGGGGCATTCTTGCGAGCAGTCGAACAGATCGAAGAAATCATGTCATCAGAACTCTGGGCGGACATGGATAGTAGTTGTTACTCTCGGATGCAACTCTCGTCGCCGAGCGCGTTCCACTACCCGCAAAGTGCCTACTCGCAAACGTCCGAGAAACACCTGCCTGCTTTGATTTAATGTATCGTAGATCCCTGGCGAGGGATCCAGGCCATTTGCGAGTAGTCCCTCTGCGAGTAGTGGAACGCGCTTGTCGATCTTGAGAGGTTAGATGCAGCATCGACGCTGGTCTCGCCGTGGCCGAGCATCGGCCTAATTCGGCATAATCCCGTCTCGTCTGGTCTATTCTTGCTTCAGCTGTCTTAATCTGGCTGGCTTACTTGGGCTTAATCTTGGCCCGTCCGGTTTAGTGCCCTCTCAGTCGGGCTTGATGTTTAGCTCTTGTTGCCAAGACCTCCCAGGAGTTGCCAGCAGTAATTATCCCTGCCTTCATGTTTCCTGTAGTCGCGATGGCTCGACAGCGCTAAGACTACCCACGGGCTGAAGCAGAGCCCATTGCGAGCCAGCCTTCTTGGTCACGAAGCGTTTTGGCGCGTCCTCGCAAGAAGGATATCAGCATCATCATCATCATCATCATCATCATCATCATCATCATCATCATCATCATCATCATCATCATCATCATCATCATAGTCGTCAGCGCCTGCATGCGACGATGGTGACGGGCCAGTCTTCGCCTCCACCGCTGGACACTGAGGCCGCTTGTAGCAGCGTGTCCCGGCAATCCTCGCCTGAAACGGGCAAGCCTGCCCGAGGCGGCAGCGCCCCCGTGCAGCGCCCGCTGCGCCCCTCCATGCGCTCTCGCTCTCCCGCCGGCTCGCCTCCCGCGCCGCCGCCGCCCCCTGCAGCGCCCGCGCCGGCTCCTGCTGCACCTCTTGCGCACCCGCAGCGAGGACGCGAGGGCAAGGATCGGGGAAGGGTGCACAGGGGGAGTGTTCGAAACTGGTCCAAAAGTAGTCTGGGGACGATATTTTTCAAGATTTTTGATCATTTTCGCTAAATTTTCTGGGTACTCTTCCTTCCTCGCCCAAGATCCCCCTGCAGGGCGGCAGGCCCGACCGGATCGTGCCCGCAGCGGCGGCGAGGACCAGGATCGGGGAAGAGGGGGGGGGCCCACCTCTCGGCGGAGGCGGGGGGCGGCGGCCGGCGCACGGCTCGAGCGCTGGCCGCCGTGCTGCTCGCGGGCGGGGTCTCGAGGGGCACGTGCCCTGCGCAGGTCGTCGGCGCACAGTCGAGGCGTTGACCTAAGGAACCCTAGATAGGGAACGAGGCCCCCATGTTCCATAAGTTGAACTTCGATCTCGTATCGAAGACCTAAGGAAAAGCCAAGGCAAGCTGCGAAACAATGAAGGAACACGGAGCCCCTCCCCAACGAACAGAGTTCCTTCTTCAGGGCCCCGACCGTAGGGGTCCAGCGTTTTGCTCTCGAGGTGCGCCCCGCGCCTCGGCCCCGCGAGCGTCGGTGGCCTCTCACCGCCTGTGCGTGTTCGGCGGGCTCGCGCCGCGTCCTGCTGGAGTCGATGGCCTGCCTCCCACTCGCACGGGAGGGTCGAGTCTGGATCGGAGATGACAGCGGCTAAGGTATGTCAAGGATCACAGACCAACCTGTCGTGTCTGTTAGCTGCACATCTCGGGCCTCGGCTGCTTCGGTACGCTCGTCTCGCAAATCTCATGGCTCCGCCTCCGAGTTAGCCCGTTTGGCAAAACTCCTCATGCAGTGGTTCGGCGTCCCCTGCAGCGACAGCTCGGGGTAACTCTCGCCTCCGTGCGCGCGGTAGGCGCCACATGCCATTGCATCTCAGGTATGTCGCTCGAGCAGCTTCGCTGGCTTGGGCGCTGGGGTTCTTCCCACACTCTTGAGTGTGCCTGAGTGTGCCGCCCTTCCGCTGCTGGCCAACCTTCCTGATTTTGCCCGCGACGAAATTCACTGTTTCAGTGCAGTGGCGCCCTGGCTGCTGCACCGCTCGTCCGATCTGCTAGCTCGGCGCAGCTGGTCTTGCTGAGCCGCGATGGGCCTGCGTAGCCCATCTCCCTCCCTCCCATCGGGCTGCCCCGCGGCTGCCCCCGCCTCCGAACATCCGCCGTCCTGCCCGCCTGGCGCCTCCCTTGCGCCGCAAGCTTCTCCAGTGGCTTCCGGCAGGGCCCCTGGTTACTGCCGGCACGAACACTTTTTTGGGTCCTGTGTCTGAGCGGCGAGCGCGAGGAGGATACACGAGTAGCATCATCATCATCATCATCATCATCATCATCATCATCATCATCATCATCATCATCATCGTCATCATCTTCATCTTCATCATCATCATCATCATCAACAGCAGCAGCATCATCATCGTCATCATCATCGTCATCATCAACATTATCATCATCATCACCACTACCACCGTCACCACCATCATCAGCAGCAGTACATCCTCAGCATCGGCATCACCATCAGCATCATCGCCATCACCATCAACATCTTCATCATCACCATCGCCATCATCATCATCGTCATTATCGCCGACAGCATTATCACCGTCAGCAGCATCATCGTCATCGCCATCATCATTGGTATCGTCATCGTCACCATCATCGTCATTCTCGTCGTCAGCATCATCACCGTCATCATAATCATAATCAGCATCGTCATCACCGTCGTCATTGCTATCGCCATTACCATCGCCCCCATCATCACCAACAGCATCGGGTTCATTAGCATCATCGTCGTCGTCATCGTCACCCCCGCCACCACCACAATCACCATCACCATCACCAACACCAACACCATCACCATCATCATCATCGTCATCATCGTCATCATCCTCAGCCGCGTCATCATCGTCACTATTAATATCAGCATCGCCATCAGCATCGGCACCCGCATCATCGTCATCATCAACAACTCCAGCATCATCATCAGCATCATCATCCTCAGCATCATAATCAGCACCATCATCAGCAGCAGCATCATCACCGTCAAACGTAAGCCTTCGATCGCCTCCCGAAGGCCCTTCTGGGCGTGTTGTTTCCTAAGATCCTCGCGCCGCCTTCGAGGCATCTTCGACCTGAACACCTCGCAGGGGGCCGTCGACCTGGTGCGGGGCTCGCTGCGCGAGGGCCGCTCCGTCGCCGAGGCCGCTGGACTCCTGGTGGACAGGAGCTGCAGCCCGGACGTCCGGGCCAGCAGGGGCAGGCCAGGGGCTAAGTCGGGCCTGTCCCCCTATGGGGGGAATGTCGCCACAAAAATGCAAAATACCCTAACAATGATCAAAGAAATGTCCAAACATAGCCTGGGGATTGTTTTTTGAGTATTGTTTTACCCTGTTGGGGTATGTTGGGGGTATTTTTTTGTTCGTCGAAAATCCCCCTGTAGGAGGACACTCCCGACAAAAGGCCAGGGGCAAGGACAGGGGTCGGCGGCGAACTCCGAACCCAATCCTCGCCGATGCACTACTCAGGCAGCTCCCTCGATGGTCGGGCCGGACGAGAAGGTGCAGTGGAGGCGCATGCCAAGAGGCACCCTGCTTGCCTCCAGGATGCCTTGGGTTTCTTGGGTTTCGAGCGATGGAGAGCGTGGTGATCCCACACCAAGAATCGATGGAGGCCCTGGGGTCTCAGGGTTGGGTTTCTTGTGGATTGGCCTCCGCTGTAGGATAGGCAAGGGGGGGGGGGGGGGGGGGGCGAAATCTGCTGCATGCAGCTGGCTTCGGCCCCGCAGCCGGGCCCATTCCTCGATACATGGCCGCCTCCCGGCGCCAGGATGCGCCATGAAAACCAGCTACGTGAGCTGCTTCTCAACCTCACCCTCTGCTGCTATCCGATACCCTCTTCGCCCCCCCGAGGTGCGCGGCGGCGGCAGGGTCGGAATTCGCCGGGCACGTGGCGAAACCCGAACGCTACCCCTGGCCTCCCATCGATTCGGCAGAATCCATGGTTGGTGGGGGCAGGGTTCGGGAGTCACCGCCCCGTGGGGTGGGGGAGCGGAGCGATTTCGCTCGACTTCTTGAGATTTCGGGCGTGTTCGTCCGATCTCGGCTGTCTCCCGGCCTCGCTCGGCATGCGCTCGGGCAGCTGCGCGTCGCCGAGTCCGTTCCCGGGGGGGCCCGGCCTGTCCGGAACTGCCGCGCCGGAGGCCCAGGTTAATGACCCGAGAAGGCCTGTGGGCAACGACGGCTCCAGGCCTCTCACCTCACGTGGGGTCAGAGCCTTGGCATCGCTCGGAGGTGTGCGTTTTTCCTTCGGCGAGGACCATCGAGGAGCATCCTGGATCATTTGGCGATAAAGCCACGCACGAAACCGAAACACAACACAGGAAATGGACGTCCAAGCGATGGCCAGGAGCAGACGGGGTCGGATGGCCACGCGCCCATGCATCGCCGACGAGGGCCTCGGGTGCCCCACTCTGCCCCCAGGAACTGTGCGGTTTCGCCATCGACCTCGGCGAAGTATCGCCGACTCCCCCCAATTGAGCCTGGGCCAACGTGAGCTCTGGCCACTCCACGCCCACCTCCGCCGCTCCCCCCTGGCAGGGGCGGGGACAACTGCAGCGCCGTCGTGGTCAAGCTGCGATGATGCCGTGATGCGCCCCGCCCCGGACTCGCGAGCCTCTCAGACCAGCGTCCTCCGGCTCCCTGCTCCGTGGAGCACGCGCGCGGGGGGGCGCAGGCCGTCTGGTCGGGCCGTTTTCAGGTGCCTTGGGGCACTGGCCGTACTCGGCCCAGGCCGAGCACGGAGGGACACAGGACGGTGCCCCGCGCGAGCCTCCCCTTCGGTGCGAGCGGCGCGGTCGCGACGCCTGCACCTGCAGTCGCGCTCGCGGCTTCCGCTCCGCTGGTGCAGAGATGCTCGCGTCTGCTGCCAGCGCGCCGCTCTCGTTGTCCGTTTCCGCCCTCCCGCTCGTGGTGGTGCAGCGGGTGGGCCCGAGGAGCAGTTCGGGCCGTCCTGTGCTCAGCTCACTGGGGGCAGGTCGGGTGGAATAGCTCTCGCACGAGGAGAGGACAAGCCATGACATCACCGACCAGCCGGAGCCAGTCGAGAATGTCGCTTTCGCGTCCTGGCGCGTCCACCGCAGCTGGCAGACACAACAGTGCTCTGCCCACGCGCCCTGGTGCCCACAGCGAGCGGGCAGCCGGTGCCCCTCGGAGGGGGCCTGCCGTCGCCACCGCTGGAGATACTGCTTGAAGAGCCAGCGGTGACAACGCCCTCGAAGGTTAAGGAATGTCGTGAACGGAGAAACATACTCCAGATTTCGTAATACAAGGGAGGGGGTCTGGACCCTCCAAGACAAGCCATTTCAGACCCCCCCCGTGGGAGAACCCTCCAAAACATCGTCCCCAGACCCCCCCAGGCCCTCCAAGATAGCCTGGAAGAGACCCCCCCCGAAATGAGACCCCCCTCCCTTTATTACGAAATCTGGAGTATCCGCATCCGCGGCCTCGCGGGCCGGGCCCTTCGGGTGCGACCCCGCGGATGCGTGGCGTTTCCTCGCGGGTGCCCCGCGCGGAGCGTGTCCGTGAGTCCGCGTGTCCGCGGGAGCGCGCCCGGGATCCAGATCGCGAGGGTGTTTGGATACAGATACGGGTATGTTCGCCCGTCCTGAGTGGGTGGCCGTAGAGCCCCACCGAGAAGTGGACGATTTGGAACGACATTCTCGTGCTCGTCGTCGTCGCCGTCGAGGCCGACAGGCTGCGAAAAATGACATGTTAAAACAAACAAGCGTTTGGTCGCTTGTTCAATGAAATCCAGTTGTGTGATTGTTCCAACCATCCTGTGGAATTGGGTACTCGTTTTGAAGAGCGCCCCGCGCCCTCCTCCTCCTTCCTCAGTCTCCCCCCCTCCCTCCCTCCCTCCCTCCTCCCGTCCCTGCCTCTGCCCTTCGCATGCCGTCATAGTCGTCCCCTCCCATATTCAGTCGCCCCCAAGGAGCTCCAACTAAGGCCAAAATGCTAGGGTACGCCTGGCGTCGCCATTTCATGCCGGCACATCCCTCTCACGTTTCGTGCCCCTCTGGGAGCTCCAGCTCAGGCCCACATGCCAGGGTTCTCATGGCGTCGCCGCCTCATGACTGCACACCCCTCACACGTTCCGTGGCCCCATAGGGAGTTTCAAACCCCAGCGGCAGATCTGCAAGGCGGCGTGGCACCGATATCGGCACCACACTCACACGCCTCGTGGCCCCACACGGAGCTCCACCGAAGGCCCTCGGACGGCCCGGGAGAGCCCCAAGACGGCCACAGAGCCCGCTCAGACAGCCCAAAGGAGGCCTCTAATATTTGGATTCGAGATGGTCAAGTACCCCGTAAGAGGTGTTGGTAAACTATTGTCGGGCGGGAGACCTGGGTACGGGGCTATCGGGCCACCGATTAATGACATACTTTTCATCACGAAGGGTGCAGCTATCGTTACAAATGCATGTGCCATGTAAAATAAGTACGCATTCAGGTAAAGCTGCATCCTTTTTTACACTGGGAAGTGTTGGTACTCAGACTACGCCCTTGGCCGCCGAACTACTACAACAACGGTTCCCACTTGATACGCCCTAACAAGCTTTTCAACATCGCGAACTCGCACCAAACACCTTCTCAATTTATCCTGGAATCACGCCGCGCCCTCGACACTCAGAAATCAGGCTCTCGCGCTGGACATCCTTACAATTTACATGAGAATTGCGCTGTCGCTCGAGACCTCGCGATCCATGCAGGACTGATGCTTCAGCTACCCGCCCGCTCGACCTGGCCGTCAGGGCCCGCCCGCCCGACCCGCCCGTTAGGGTCCGCCCGCCCGACCCGCCCGTCTGGTGCTGCCGCTTGGTTTCCTGCTCCTGATCTGCCTCCTGCTAATCTCTCTTATGCTTTATCGTTCTTCCTCCCCCTTGTCACTTGTCTCTTCTCTCTTCCCTCCCTTCTCTGCTTTTGGTGCCGCGCCAGCCACGCGTGGCAGGCAAGGAAGATATACCCCCAACGGGTTGTCGAAGACGAAGAGGGCGGGTATCGAGGGTTTCGAGATATACATGTTGAGTGACACACGAACAGATCAGAGCAAGCGCTCGTAAACATGATCCTTGCGACGGGCTCAATCATAAGATGCAGGTGTGAGTACCGCAAGGCAGGTGTGACGAAAGAAGGGGAAATCCCGATGGGGCGACCAAGCGAGTGAGGGGTGTGCCGAAATGGGGCGGTACCGCCATGGGGGCGCTGGCAGTGGCGCCGTTGGCGCATATCCTCATGGCTCATGGGGCCGCGAGGTGTGTGAGGTGTATGCTGACTTGAAACGCCGACGTCATGTGGACCCTGGCATTTGGGCCTTCGGTAGAGCTCCTTGTGGGGCCACAGTGCGTGTCTGTGTTGTGCCGATGTCGGTGTGGCGCCGCCTTGCAGACCCTGCCGCCAGGATCCTAGCTGGAACTCCCTATGAGGCCACGAAGCGTGTGAGGGGTGTGCCGTCAAGTGGCGGCGACACCACGCGGACCCTGGCATGTGCGCTCTTGCCAGAGCTTTCTATGGGGCTATGAACCGTGTGAGGTATGTGTGTGTGTGCCGACATGAGACGTCGACGCCATGCGGACCTTGGCATGGGGGCCTGAGTTGGAGCGTCCTGTGGGCCCACGACACGTGTGAGGGGTGTGTCGCGACATGGGGAGGCGACGCCATGCGGACCCTGGCATTTGGGCTTTAGTTGGAGCTCTCTGTAGGGCCACGACACGTGTGAGGGGTGTGCCGGCATGAGGTGGCGACGCCATGCGGACCTTGGCACGTGGGTTTCAGTTGGAGCTTCCTGTGCGGCCACGAAATGTGTGAGGGGTGTGCCAGAATGAGGCGGCGACGCCACGCGGACCCCGACACTTCGGCCTGAGTTGGAGCTCCATATTTGTCTGCGAAGGGTTGAGGTGTGTTTCGAAATGAGGCGGCGACGCCATGCGGACCCTGGCACTTTGGCATTAGGTGGAGCTCCATATTGGGCCATGCCACGTCTGAGCGGTTTGCCGACATGAGGTGGCGACGCCATGTGGACCTTGTCATGTTTGCTTTAGTTGGAGCTCCCTGTGGGGCCACGACCCTGGCATGCGAGCCTTAGTTGGAGCTCCTTGTGGGGCCACGTCAGGTGTGAGGGGTGTGTCGACATGAGGGGGCGACGCCATGCGGACCCTGGTATTAGGGCTTTAGTTGGAGTTTCTTCTGGGGCCACGACACGTGTGAGGGGTGTGCTGGAATGAGGCGGCAACGCCATGCGGACCCTGGCCTGGCACTTGGCCTTAGCAGGATTTCTTTCTGGGGCAACGAAACGTGTGAGTGGTGTGCCGAAATGAGGCGGCGACGCCACGCTGACCCTGGCATGTTGGCCTTAGTTGGAGCTAGCTCTGTAGGGAGCCATGGAGTATGGGAGGGGACGAGTACAGTCGGACCGAGGTAGAAGATCGAGGTCGGTTCGGGAGAGGCTTGTTGAATGTTCCTTGTGCAACCAGGGGAGGGTACCGTTGGATGTTCTGTGTGTTTTGGCTGGCGGAGGGTCTCATGGTTCTGAGGGATGGTCTTCCAGCCTAGGTCCGACTGTATGAGGACGTGCGGAGGGCAGAGGCAGGGATTGGAGGAGGAAGGGAGGGAGGGGGGAGGAGGAGGGAGGAGGGCGCGGATCGCTGCCTCTTCAAAACGAGGGCCCCACACCATAGGATGGCCGGGAACGATTGCTGTTGCTGCTTTTCAGATTTCGTCTGGCCGCATTCCTTTTGTTGGCGCTCCCGAGGGTCCGATCTTGGGCGGGTGCCGATTTCGGGCGGGGGGATGCAGGGCGCGACGGGCGGCTCTCTGGCGGCCGGGGCCGCTTCCTGTGCGCGGGCGAGGAGGTTCCGCCTCCCCGCCAGGCGCAGGGTGTCCGAGTGCGGCCGCGGGACGCCGAGGGGGACATCCGCCGACACGGCTGTGTGCAAGTCACCAAGGTGCGCTGGCCCAGTGGTACGTGAGGACTACTCGAGCATGTCCCTCTACGTGAGGAGTGTTTGATGATTTCATTGAACGCCCCTGCGGGGGCAGATACCGCCACCCCACCATTTTTGGATCCTGGAGACGCTGTGGGAGCGGCGGCCGCTCCGCGCGCGCGAATGGGAGATCTTCTGGTGCTGGTGCTTCCACTTGGAGGCCTCGTGGGGCTCTATGGAAAGGACATTGGGCTCCTCAGCGAGCTCTCTGTCGTATGACCCTGTGCCCAGGACGGCCGCAGAGAGGCTGGAGGAACTGAAAGCAGCGAGCCGTGTGTCGTATGACACTGAGGCCAGGACGGCCGCAGAGAGGCTGGAGGAACTGAAAATAACCGTTGGGTTCGTCCTGCAAAGCGCGCCGAGGAGTGTTTTGCCCATGACCCTGACGCTAGGACGGCTGCAGAGAAGCTGGAAAAGCTAAACAGAAACCGTCGGGTTCGTCCCATGGGGACCTCATGTAGGGGCCAAAAAAGGAGGTGGAATGGGTCAAGTGCGGCGACTTGGGGTGAACGATGTAAACAAGAAGAGAAAACAAACAGTCTGGGTTTGTTTGCGGCTCCTGGAAGAGCCCCCGGAGGCTCTGAGGGGGCGCCCAGATGGGCGAAATACGGGAGGTCCGAGAGAGGCGCAAGGAGAAGTTCTAGAAGGCCAGAATCATCAAAATCTTATGATGTATATGGCTCAAAAATAAGTAAAAGAGCATTCGAAACGGCTCAAAGTGGCTTAAAGGAGAGTAAGCCCAGGAGAGCCTCAGGAGGCCCGAAAAAGCCAGCCCAGTGGGCTCCTGGAGAGGTCTCTAAGATCGCCTGGTGGCGCCTGGAAGGCTAGCACGTAAAAGGGGGGGTCGTCTTGGGACGGAACTGGCTGCCAGAATGCGCCCCGGCCGCAGCCGGGGCCCCTGGGCCGGCGGAATGAGCGAGGCGCGGGGAGGACTTTAGGAGGGGTTGCGAGGGCTCAGAGGCAGGGATAGGTATGAAAAGCGCGCTGGAGAGAAGACTTCCACAAAGCAATATTGCAGACCATGCTGTGGATCTCACACGCCGTACCCCGTGGGGCGGCGGATCGCTTCGCTCATTCCGCCGGCCCATATTGCCTCGCCGCTTGGAAGCCGTGTTGGGTCCCCTTGGGGGCATCTTGGAGGCAGTTTTGAGGCCTCTTCGGGGACGTGTTGGGGCCTCTTGGGGCCTCTTGGAGGCCTCTTGGAGCTTCTTGGGGTGCCTTTTGGGATCCCCTTGGGGCCTCTTGGGGGCCTCCTGGGGGCCTCCTGGGGACCTTGGGGCTGAAGGCTCGACTTTTCAGTTCCCATCTTGGGCCATCTTGGGCGCCTCTTGGGCTGTCTTGGGGCCATCTTGGGCCGTCTTGGGGCCCTCTTAGAGTCTTCTTGGGGCAGTCTTGGGGCAGTCTTGTGGGCCTCTTGGGCCATCTTGGAGCGTTGGGAAGCCGAAAATATGAGACACGTCGCACATGCGAAGCATTTGCGTTTTACAAAGGAAATGGGGCGATGTTTGCTTGTCCAGGGCCCTCTTGGAGAGCCTCTTGAGGCTCTCTTGGGTTTTGTCGTCGGAGGAATATCTGATCTTGTTGGGTGCATGTTTCACTATGGTGCATTTTTCTTCCACAATCCGCCTGTAGGAGGACATGCCCGACCTATTGTTAAATAGGTCCATGTGAACGACTTGCCTTGGTCTATGGTGCCAGGCCTCCCGGAGGGGGTCGGAGCAGAGGAGGTCAGAGGATCGCGCCGCAACGTCGATGCACCCCGCGGCCCATGAGTTCCCGACGGGCCAGAGCTCCCGACGGCCCGCTGCCTACCAAGACCCCCGACGTCGTGATTTATCACAATGTCGACCCCCAGAGGTCTGGACCCTCTCCCGGTCCCCCGGACCGGACGATTCGGGGGCCCGGGAAGGGCCCCCGGAGGCCGAAGATTGTGACAAACCTCCCTTCGTAATCTTTGCTTCGCAGCGCGAGGGGGTCCAGAGCTTCTGACACCTTTCCCCGGGGGCAGGCTTCCTTCCCGCAGCCACCCTGTTGAAGTCCCCGGTGGCGTGGCCCCCAAGGGCTGGCCCTCGAGGAGCAGCCGCCGCCGCGCAGGAGCCACGTCGTCGGAGATCTTGGGGCCGGGGGGCGTGTGGGATCCGCACTCCCGTCGCGCCAGGCACGGCCTCTGGCTGTGCTTCGGTCCCCCACGTGATGACGACGACGATACCGATGACGATGATGATGATGCTGATGATGATGATGATGATGATGTTGCTGATGATGATGTTGATGATGTTGAAAATCTTGATTCTTAGTATTATGAGAATGAGGATGACCATGAGGATAATGATGGTGATGATGATGATGATGCTGTTGCTGCTGCTGCGTTCGCTGCTGCTGATGATGATGCTACTGATGATGATGATGATGATGATGATGATGATGATGCTGATGCTGATGCTGCTGATGATGATGATGATGATGATGATGATGAGCATGATGATGAGCATGATGATGCTGCTGCTGTTGATGATGACTGGACGACGGAGACGATGCAGACGATCGCGACGACGTCGACCACGACGTCGACGACGACGAAGACGTTGAGTCTGATGATGATGATGATGATGATGCTGCTGATGATGATAATGCTTTCAAATGTGATGACCATGATGATGCGGATGGCGATGATGGTGATGCCACTGATGGCCATTAGGATGATGACCATGATTATACTTATGATTATGATGGTGATGCTGATGATGCTTACGATGATGATGATGACCATGCAGATGCGGATGGTGATGATGGTAATGCCACTGATGGTGATTAGGGTGATGATCATGACTATGATTATGATGATGCTGATGCTGATGCTGATGCTGCTGATGATGGTGGCGGTTGTGATGATGATGGTGTACATAGTGATAGTATTTGTGATTTTGTTAACAGTGATGATGAGAATGATGATGACGCTGCTGCTGCTGATGATGATGATGATGCGGATGATGCTACTGCTGATGATGATGATGATGATATGATGATAATGACGATGATGATGATGACGATGATGATGATGACGATGATGATGATGCTACTGCTGATGATGATGACGATGATGGTGGTGGTGGTGGTGGAAGTGATGATGATGATTATGATGATGGTGGTGGTGATGATGATGATGATGCTGATGCTGATGCTGATGATGATGATGATGATGATGATGATGATGATGATGATGATGATGATGATGATGATAATGATGATGATGATGATGATGATGATGATGATGATGATGATGATGATGATGATGATGATGATGATGATGATGATGATGATGATGATGATGATGGCGTGACGCCTTGGCGCCCCGGACTCGTGGCCCCTTGGCGCCCGGCAGCCGTGGCCGCCGCTGGCTCGAGCCGCCCGCACCGCGTGGAGCGTTTCGGCGCCACCGGCCCGGGCGGCTAAGCGGCCTCCCGCGATGGAGCGGACAGGCGCCTGCCCCGCGCGGCCGGCCGCGGCGGGGCGCATCCCACGCGAGCGGCGGCGGGACGCCGCGGCGAGGCCGCGGCGGCCCGCGCGGCTGCCGGTCCCCCTGGCGGCCGTCTGCGCGGCGATCGCGGCCGGCTCGTGTGCGGCAGCGGTGCGGCCGCCGGGGGCGAGAAGCAAGCGCGTCGAGGAGCGGCGGAGCGTGCTGACCTGCCCGTGGTCGGAGAACAGTGGATGGCATCAGCATTGGCATCGGGAGCTCCGCGCGGATTGTTCGGATCGGCGCCAGAGATGCCCCCCTGGCGGCGCCGCCCCTGACGCGCTCCGCGTGCCAAGGAAGGGGTTCCAGCGCCGATTCGAGAAATCCGCGCAGACCTCCGAGGGTGTATGTTTATGCAGCACTTGTTTGCTCCTCGATGTAGTCCCCAACAAGATGTTCTGAGAACCGTTTGCTGTTTGCACGAGATGTTCTCAGAGTGTTTCTGGCTGGGACCGTATTAGTTCTCATACGTCAGACCTGTGTTCCAAAGACACCTCTTCTGCTCTTGAGGCATTCGTTCGGTCGTAGGGCGTGTCGTGGTAGGCCGATAAGGAGGAGAGCTGAGACGGGTGGCCCAGTGCTCAAACCTACACGTTTCGACACGTTTCGGGTGCTGCCGAAGGTATCATTGGCCCAAGGTGTCCCCTTCTTCTCGCTCCACTTTCGAGCGCTGGGGGCACCCCTGGCCTCTCCAGGGGTGCTCGGGAGGCCTGCGGGGGGCTCCCTGGCAATCCCGGCGGGCGACCTGGGCCAGGGACACCTGTTGGCGGCACCCGAAATCTCTCGAAGGCCCGCGCAGAGACTCTTTGGGTCGGCACCGGAGATGCCCCCCCCTCCCCACACGCTGCGCCTCTCCTCCTCCTCCTCCCCCTCCTCCTCCTCCTCCTCCTCCTCCTCCTCCTCCTCCTCCTCCTCCTCCTCCTCGCCTCTTGCGCCGGACGTCCTTGGCGCGCTCTGCGCGCCGGGGCAGGGGGGGTCCTGCGCCGATCCAAGACGAAATCCGCGCGGCCCCCCGACAGTTCACTTGGAGGGGCTCGACGTGCACACCACTTCGCTGGGTCGGCCAGGGAGCCGACGAGCTCGGCGAAGGCATGCCGTGTGCAGGCGCTCCGGCGTCCCACGGGCTGGGAAGTTGGGGCGTCTCTGCACCGAGTTCTTGGGTCAACCAGACGACCTGGTGCATACTTCGAGCCCCTCTATTTTATCGAAGACGCCTACGGCGAAACACCGCCGCCCCTTGCCTTTGGAATCGCCCACGTGGCCGAGCGTTGTGGCGAGAGCTCTGCCAAACTATCTGACCATGTGTTCCCGCAGCAGCTGTGGAAACCTCTTCGGGGAACACTTGGGGGAGGATGGCGGGAAAGACCACGAGGAGGAAAATGAGGAGGAGGACGAGGCACATCTTGGGAGCCTCTGGGGGTTCTGGGAGCCTCTTGGAGGCATCTTGTGGGCCTCCTTCGGCCTCTTGGGGGCCTGTGGGGGCTTCTTGGGAGCCGTTTTGCCCGTCTTGGGGCGTTCCTGGCCCGTCCGACGCTGGAAGCCGTCGTGGGGGCGTCTCTGGGCCGACGTGGGGCCCAGGTGCTCCACAGCCGTCTTGGAGGTCATCTTGGGCGTCTTGGAGGCCTCCGGGGCTGTCTCGGGGCCTTCTTGGGGCCGTCTCGGGGGCCTCTTGGGCTATTCAGGGGCCACCTTGGAGGCCTCTTCGGCGAAATTGGTGCGATCTGTGGGGCTCTTGGGGGCTCTTGGGCAGTCTGGGGCCGTCGGAAGGCGGACAATAATCAAATGCCAAAGTCCTTCACAAAGCTTATGGAACATCAATGATGGTGGTCCTGTTCGGGCCTTCCTGGAGGCCCTCTTGTGGGCCGCTTGGGCCGTCTTGGCCTCTTGGTGGCCTCTTGCGACCTTTTGGGTCGTCGTAGGCCATTTTGAAGCCATTTGGGGCAGTCTTGGGTGCATGTTGGGGCCATGTTGGGGTCTCTTGGGGCCGACATCTTGGCCGTCGGAGAGGCCATCTTGAGCCGTCCTGGGGGCGGCGCGCTGGGCCGAAACCCCACAGGGAGTTCTCTTGGAAACGATCGGATTCAACACGCCGGGCACCCAGCAAGCCATCAGGTGGCGGCGGATCGAAGACGCCTACGGCGAATCACCGCCGCCCCCTGTCTTTTTGGAAGCGCCTATGTGGCCGAACGTTGAGGCCAGACCTGCCAAGCCACGGACCATGTGTTCCTTGAATCGGTTTGGAAAGCCTTCGGGGAACACGTGGGCATCTTGATGGTCATCTTGGCCGTCTTGGAGGCCTCGTGGGCGATCTTTCGGCGATCTTTGGGGGCGCTTGGGCCGTCTCGGGCCGTCGGAAGGCCGAAAAGAAGGAAATGACAAAATCCTTCGAAAACCTTTGGAACATCAAGGTTTTTGGCTTTTTCCCTCCTTCGTGGAGGCCCTCTTGGGGGCCTCTTGGGCCGTCTTGGGCCAGCTTCGAGCCAACTTCGGCCATCTTGGTGGGTTCCTGGCACGTCTGACGCCGTCGGGAGCCGTCTTGGGGGCCTTTCTGGGCCAACGGGGGACCCTCTTGGGGCGCTTCGGGGCCGTCTTGGAGGCAATCTTGGGCGTCTTGGAGGCCATCTTTGGTGTGTTGGAGGCCTCTTGGGCCGTCTTGGGGCCCTTTTGGGGCCAACTTAGAGGCCACTTGGGCCGTCATGGGGCCCTCTTGGGGGCCTCTTGGGCGATCTTGGGGGCCTCTTGGGCCGTCTTGAGCCGTCGAAATGCCGAGAAGAAGCAAATCCCAAAGTTCTTCAAAAGCCTAAGGAAAATCAATGATTCTGGCCTCTTCGGGCCCTCCTGGAGAACCTCTTGGAGGCCTCTTGGGCCGTCTGGGAGGCCTCTGGGGGGCCTCTCGGGCCGTCTTGGGCCATCTTGGACTCTCTTGGGCCGTCTTGGAGGCCGTCTTGGACAATCCTGGGCGGACCCGGAGGCCATCTTAGGCCATCTTCGCGATTTTTTTAGGATTTCCCGAGCGAAACGGCCGTTTCTTGAGCCATCTTGGAGGATTTTTTTCCGGATTCAGCACCTTTCCGGGTGGCCGGCTGGACGGGCCGGAGCCCCAGGGGAGTTCTTTTGGAAGAAGAACCAAAACCAAAACCGAGAGGATCCAGCACGCCAGGCACCCCTGCGATGAATCGACAGGGGGCGGCGGATCTCATGGCTTTCGGACCATCCCGCCACCGTTCCTGGATGGTGTGTCGTAGGCCCCTAGGATGTTCGTCGGGATGTCGCGAAGGGTCTCTCGGGGGCCTCTTGCGTGGTTCCAGTCGCGGAGACCCACATTGGAGACCCATGCCAAGAAACACCCTGCTTGCGTCCAGGGTGCCCCGGGTTTCTCGGATTTCGATGGTTTTGCGACGGAGAGCGCGAGGTTCCCACACCAAACATCCAGTGGCGTCCTGGTGTCTCGGGGTTGGGCTTCTTGTGGAAGGTTTCTTGTGCACTGGCCTCCACTGTATGTCGCCGTGCCCGAATGGGGCTGTCAAGCCCCATTCGGGCACCTCGGAGCAGAAGTTTCGTTGCGTTCTGTTGTCGTTGGCTGCCCAAAGGCAGAAACGGGGAACGTCTCAGGTATTCTATTGAATTGCTTTTGCATGCATGATGCTACGTCGGAGCCCTCCCGCGAAGCACGAGCCGTGTGCGAACGCAAAAAGAAACAATCCACTGTACACCTTAGGCGATGCTTAAGAAAACTTAAGTTTGCGGCCAGAGTCTCCATTATTCTTAACGTTTCAATGTAAATCTTAATATTTTAACAGAAATCTCGGGTTATTATTCAAGTTCTGAGACTATGCATTTCTTAACCCATGATTTCTTAAGCATTTCGCAGGGTGTATGTCGCCGCGCCATCTGTTCCGTCGCGCGGGCTTGCGTGTTTGGGGGGGGGGGCGCCGCGGGCACACGGGCAAGCGCCCCCTGGGTCGCGGTGGGCTTGCCGTGGCTCTGCCGCGGCGCCGGCGCCGTCTGCCCAGAGGGGCGCGGGGTGCGGGGCTCACCGTGGGCTTGCCGTGGTGTCGGCGTCGTCCACGACTGGGCGCGTCGAGAGCAGACGGCGCGGCGCCATAGGGGAGAATACGAGAAACACTCCCCAGACCCCCTCGAGTCATGAAAAAGTCACGACGCGAGGTTTTTCGCCATTTTCGGCATCTGGGGACCCTTACCGGCCCTCAGGACCGTCAAAAAACGACTCAGGATGAAAAGCGGGTCCCGGGGAATGGGTCCGGACTTCTGGGGGTCGCGTCATGAAAAAATCATGACGTCGGGGGTTTGGGCCTGGAGACTGTTTTTTTATGGGCCCCAGCCATCGGGCTTGCACCCCCTCCCCCCCCAGGATAACCCAACTTTGCCGGTTGTACAGGTCCGGGGTGGGGGGGGGCGCGGGAATGCGCTTGGCTGCCCACAGCGCGAAGGTTGGGTGATCGGCCGGACTCCTCCTCCCCAGACCCCCGACGTCATGATTTTTTCATGACGCGACCCCCAGAGGTCCGGACCCATTCCCCGGGACCCGCTTTTCATCCCGAGTCGTTTTTTGACGGTCCTGAGGGCCGGTAAGGGTCCCCAGATGCCGAAAATGGCGAAAAACCTCGCGTCGTGACTTCTTCATGACTCGAGGGGCTCTGGGCCCCCCCCTTCCTAACGCGGGTTATCTCCGATTCAAAACGCAACGGTCTCCTGGAGTGGGTGCCCATTCCCTGTTGCCTCCCCGGGCCCCCCTCTCTCCCAGGCCGCTGTCGCCGCGCGCCGCGCCCTCGAGGGCCCCCCGGCCGCGCACGCAGCGGCCCTCGGCGCTATCGCCGGCGGCCTCCGTGGCCCCGCCCTCGGAGTCTGCTGGTCTTCTCGCGATCGCCGATCGCGCAGTCGGCTCCCAGGCACGATGGCGTCGGCTCCCAGGCACGATGGCACGATGGCACGATGACCGTCCAGGAGCGAGTTGGAACAGGAAGCCGGTCTCAGGGGAAGGGTGGGGACTTCGGGGGCCGCCTGCTGACGAATTCCGAATTCAGGACTCGCGTGTCTGGCGTCGGCTGGCACCGCCTGCTTTCTGAGCCCTCCGGCCGCCTGAGGCCCCGCCCGCCCGCGCCCCGTCTCCACAATTAGGGCTAATTACCCGCGTCCCGTTTAGCTCTTGACCGAAAGGGGCCCGCTCCCGACCCGCAGACCCAACAAAAGTGTCTGGCGTCGGCCTGACCACGCGATCCTCCGAGGTGGAGCGCGGGATCGGTCCGTGTTCGGCGCGGGGGCCGTCGCGCTCGGGGCTGCGATCGGACATCGGGCGGCGCGGCCGGCCGAGTGGTCAGACATACGGGGCCCAAGGGTATACACCACCACCACCGCCTCCCTTTGTCCCCTTCCTCCCCCAGGGACCCAGACCCCCGACGTCATGATTTTTTCATGACGCGACCCCCAGAGGTCCGGACCCATTCCCCGGGACCTGCTTTTCATCCCGATCGAGTCGTTTTTTGACGGTCCTGAGGGCCGGTAAGGGCACCCCGGAGGCCGAAAATAGCGAAAAACCTTCCGTCGTGATTTTTTCATGACTCGAGGGGGTCTGGGGAGCAGGAGAGGCAGGCGAGGGTGGAGGAGGGAGAAAGAGGCGACGTGGTGGTGGCATATATTTTTTGGGGGGCCGCGAGGCAGACACGTATAAGGTCCTGCCGAGGTTCAAGGTCGACGTCGCAGGACCCCCGCGGGCTGCAGCGGCGGCAGGGCAGAGGGGCGCCCCACATCTCCTCGGATCGCAGAGGCCACGTCGGTCAAGAGGGAAAGAAACACACAGACACAATTAGTCGTCGATCCCCCAGAAAATATGGGAAAATATGGGAAGTGGGCGGGAAGACAAAAACCCAGAAAATATAAGAAAATATGGGGAATCTGTTTATTTGTGTCTATTTATTTGTGTGTCCCAGATCCCCTTCAACATCGGCAGGAGTCGGCCCGGGCCTCTCGCTCAGGATCCCGGGCGTCGCTCGGACGTGCGCATTTTTTTTTCTCGGCGAGGGCCATTGCGGACGATCCTGGACCATCGAGCCAGCAAAAACACGCACGGAACAGAAACATGCACGGGACATGGACGTCCGAGCGATGGCGAACATCGGTCAGATTTCGAGGATGTCAGGATGTCGTCTGCGATCCGGTTCGGCGCAGGCTTCCCACCCCGGCCGGGGTTTTTCTCTGTGCGGGCCTCGGCTCGGGCGGCCAGGCGTCGGCCTCGATGCCCTCCGATCCGCCTGCCGATCCCTGCCGATGCTGCGCCGAAGGCGGGCCTGTCCCTCTACACGAAGGATATCTTCAAAAAGAGTAGCAAAGATAGCCTGGGGACGACTGTTCTTGCATTTTTGGAGTCTGTGTGGAGTCTTTTGGGGGGCATTTTGCATTGCTCGTCCAAAGGATAGCCTGGGGACGATGCTTCTGGTAGTCTTGGAGTCTGCTTGGGGTATGCTTTGGGGGTACTTTTGCATGTTTCGTCCAGCATCCCCCTGTCGGGGGACAGGCCCGACCACACCAGCACCCCTGCCGCGCTGGTCGGGCGACCCCGTCGATGGTGCCTCGAAGGCCTTCTGGGCAGGGTCCGGGAAGAGGGGGGGCACCGCCGGTGCATCGGCGATGCGGCCCGACGTGGAGCCCGACTCGTATGGGGGAAGCGTACTCACCAACTCTGCCTTCGCAGGTTGGACACCGAAGCGAAACACAATGTTTCGCATTAAATGTCGATGCCAGCCCACATCGACTCCAAGTTGGCCGTGGATGAGCTCCAAGCCGCACAAGCTCCAACCGCTGGACATGGCACTTAAGCCCAAAGACTATAAGATGTCCAACCTATGCCAAGCTGGTTGCCAATAAGGGAAGTAAGGGACACTCTAGCCAGCTAACCTCGGTTCTAGGCGCACCGCCGAGATCGGGGAAGCGTCAGACTGGAGTACGCCAGAACTCGGGTGTGCCGACTTTTGTTCTGACGAGCGCGTCCGAGATTTTGACGGTCCCGTCTTCGTGGGATGCCCTGCAGCGGGAGCCCGCGTCAGGCTTCAGATGGGGTCTCGTCGTTCCTGTGATGGCCCGCGCCAGGCCAGCCCGGGTCCCCCGCACCCGAGTCTTACGTCCCCCCGATCGTAACACACCAAATTGAAGCGATTCCTCGCCAGCGTCGCGGACGCATCGCCGATGCATCGACCTGACGGCGCGACCCGCTGGCCCCATCCGTTTCGGCCCCACTTGGGGCGGCCTCCGGCGCTGCTTCTGAAGGAGAGCGCCAGGCTGTCGCACAGCAGGCGAGGACGTGGCACGCACAGTGAAACAGACGGCGCGCGCGTCGTTGATGCTCCGTGTTCCACCCATTTTTTATCCCCCCGCGCGTCTTCTCCCTTGCTCTCCCCTGCGACCCCCGCCAGAATGTCCAGCTGCCTGCTGCAGGTCTCGCCACCGCGCCATTCCAGCACTCTCGGCGGGGATAGTGCTGGTTTGTTGATTGCTTCTTGGGGGCGCCTTGGGAGCCTCCTGAGACCTGTTGGCAGCGTGTTGAGGGCGGCTTGGAGGCTCTTGGTGGATTCTTGGGCTGTCTGAAGGCGCTCTTGGGCCATCAGGTCGCTCTCGGAGTCCGTCTTGGGAGGCTCTCTGGGTCGTCTTGGGGCCCTCTCGGGGACCTTGAGGGCCGTATAAAAGGGCTCCCTTTGGCCGTCTTAGGGCCCTCATGCAGCCCTCTTGAGGCACTCGTCTTGATGCCATCGTGGAGGCGTCTTGTGCCGTCTTGAGCTGACGGAAGCCAGGATATATGAGAATGCGATAACTAACCAGCCAGCACCTAAAGAACAACACTGATTTTAGCTTCTCTGGGACATGATGAAAGTTCCAGTGTTGCCTCGGTGGGCCGTCTTGAGAGCCTCTTGGGCAGAGCTATCTTGGGCCGTCTTGGACGCATGTTGGGCCTTCTTGGCGTCTCTTGGTGACCCGTCTGGGGCCATCTGAGGCATCTTGGTAACTTCGGGTTCCGCAGGGGGCCAGCCGCTGCCGTCGTCACCATTGCCCCACGCCCGAGACCCCCGCCTCGGGTAACGACCGTTACTCGGGAAAGAACAAACGGCCACATATTCGAGGTGGCGAGGTTTGCGAAGCCAGCCGTTGCACATCGACCTCACTTGCAAGATACGGCTCTGGCCACTGGCTCTTCAGCCTTTTCCCTGGCCCCTACCTGGGTGCTGGACGTAGCAGCTCGGGCAGCGCCTTCGACCGTGACATCCAGGCGGAGGGCTCCATGCACGGCGGCGGGGCGGCGCTGACAGTGATTATCGACCTCTGGAAATGCGTTGAAGCAATCGCGCCGCGCGTGGTGATGCAGGAGGTGCACGCGCTCCGCTTCCCACTGCGCCTGCCATAACACTTGCTGCAGTGCTACGCGCAGCCTCGAACCTTCAGGGTGTTCGACGGCTAGCCCCCAATGGCGTTTAATGATGAAGGCACCGTCGCACGGTGTTCCCACGCCACCTCGTCGCTCAGCGCGATGCTCAGTAGGGTGCTGCGCAAGGCAGCTAGACGAGATGCCATCGACATCCCGCGCTGGCTCGTGAATGACATGACGATCGAACGGCTGGGACAGTCAGGGCCATGGGTTCAGGCGCTCGCACGCACCGCGAAGAATCTCCTCGCCGACCTTCATGAGCTCTGGGTGCACGTGCAGATGGACAAGCATGCGTTCGGTTTCACCAACTGCGAGGCCATGAAGGCTTTCGGCTTTCGAGCCTCGCGCGCGGCGCCAGGGCATTCCGCATCGTCGCTGGGCGCAGAGCCTGTGCAACGAGGCGTTTAGCACGCGACCGCTACGACAACGGCAGCACAAGCGGCGGAAGGCAACCACGATGCAACCACGAGGTGGGCACGCCGATGACGAAGTATGCGGCCACGTAGGACCCGATGTTTGCGGCCACCAAACCGTTGGTCTGCCGATGCGCAGCGCGGTGGGGAGAGGGGAGAGCCTCCTGCTGCCATGCAGAGGACCTGGGCGGCAATCGGGGCAGAGCTTGCGGCCCGTGCTTGCGGCCCGTCTAAGCGAGGCGCTCGTGCGCGGCACCATTGGAGCCGCGTCGGATGACGCTCGAGCGCGACGACCAGCAGCACGCCGTGCTCCACCTTGCCGCGCTTCCGCGGAGCGTTTGCGACCCCTTCGCAGAGGGCGTCCGACGGTGGCAGTGCCGGAAGCTGGTGGCCTCGCTTTCCGAGGCCAATAAGGAGGAGTTGTTGCCGATGGCGGTGGGCGCCCAGCGGCGCAGGGGGCCTTGCAGCGCCTCTGGTCTGTGGGAATGAGGCCGCGGGCGCGACGACATGCGCATGGGCTGTCGCAGTCGTCACTCTGCGCGGCCTGCCGCGCTGCCCCAGGGGCACCGCGGATTCGGCTACCCTGGCCTCCTGCAGCCGCTCGACGACGAGCGCGAGGACGAGGTCATGCCACGCAAGGTAGCCGTGGTCAGGGAGGCGGGCGCGGCGACAGCAGCACCCCGTGCGCCCATGTGCTGGGCGCCGACGGCTCGCCAATTACAAATAAGTTGCTGATCTCCGACGTCGCGGCTGGTCCGCGGCCATGCTGGACAGCCGCGGCAGGGCCGGCGGCGCATTGACTTGGGCTTGGGCGCAGGATCATGCAGGACCTTCCAGCATCCTGGAATGCCCCGCTGACCTGGGCCAGTGCGTCCCCGAATGGCGGGCAACGCGCGCGCCGACCCCGTGTTTCGGATCGGGAACTGTTGGGCGGGCGGTTTCGCAAAGCTCGGGGGCGCCGACGCGCCCGCCCCCCCCGGTCTTCGTCCAGGCGCTGGAGACCCGATTGCAGGACGCAGTCTCTCGCAGCTGCAACATGACGCGAGCGTTCTCGAGAGCGCCCATTTGCGAGGGTGGGACTAGGATGGGGCCTCGTCCACCGCCGCGACTTGCAGCGCCAGGCCCGACGGCGGCCTTCGTGGCGCGCGACTACGAGAACGCCGACGTGGGGGTGCGTTTCTTGGCCTGCAATGCGTCGGCCCCATGATATTGGGGTGGCCGATGCCCCCGCGCCGGCGGGATGCGGGGCCCTCAGAAGAGGGGCGACCCAAGCCCCCGCAGGCCCGATGTGCGGGGCCCTCGAAGGAGGGGCGGCCGACGCCGCCGCACGAGACGACACAGGAGCACCAGGCGGGCCCTCCTGGGAGGAGTCGTCGACGCCCTCGCGCCGGAGGACTGCGGCTCCCCCCGAGGAGGGGTGGCCGATGCTCCTGCGCAAGCGCAGTGCGTGGTGCTAGCTGGGTGCGGTGGGTTGCAGTCTCGCCATCCTGAGCATAGTGGAGGCATGCTGCTGGGATCTCAGCAGCGCGCGCGCTGCTCAGGCTTCGACCCGCAGGGTTATGACCGCGGCGGGTGACCAAGCGCGCAGATCCTTCGGAGAAGAGGGGGTCGTTGTTCCGGCAGCCGAGGAGGTGGACTTCGAGCGCATCGGCGACTACAGCGACGACGAGTTCGTGCTCATCGAGGGGCCCAGGCGAGACGACGACGACGACATAGGCATGGCGGATGAGCGGCTCAGCAGCAACATCGATGACGGGTTCGCGAGGTTGAAGCTCATGCGCAGGTGAGAGGTCGCGCCACGGCGGGTGGGTTCAGTTCCAATGCCGTCGCAGTTTCGGCTGCATCTGCGACGCGCGCTGCGCGATCCACAGCCACGGGTGGGTC